ATATAATATATATATATATATATATACATTTATCCATTTATTCATTTATCTATCAATTATTTCATTCAATCATTTAGCCATCCACCTATCTATCTCTCTAGGCTCTATTCATCCATACATCCATCCATCACTTCGTTCGTCAGTCAGTCCGTTCGTTCATTCATGTCGTTACAACATTACGCCTACTGACGCAAAGGTGGTCATTTACATGCAAACTAATTTGAGAAACAATATTATATTATTACTATTATGCAATAGTCTGCTAATGGACAATAATGTTTGACTTATGCATATATTGCTGTTACGACACCATACCTTTTAGCGCATCTTCAACGATGCCGAATAAACAAGATTAAATTATTTGTGTCTACAAAACGTTTCGCAACAGGCGTATTCCTTATTTCAAATAACACGGACAATTAATTAATTATCTACTCGCGCGTACATGAGTGTGACAATAAAGATGTTTACATAATGATTTTCATAAATTATATTAGCACACGGACAAATGCAAACATACAACTCTCTTAATACGTAGGCCTAGAGAAAAGCCTTTCAATATCACGCGACACAGACAGCAGCCACTTTGCCTCTAAATTCCTTCTGCGAATTCATTGTTCTTTCTTGTATTGTTATGATTTAATGAAAGGTAAGTTAAACGTAAGAAAAGAAAAGGAAAAAATGACATGGGGGCATAAGAAAGGAAAAGGAAAGAAAAGATAAGGAAACATAAGAAAGGGAACGGTAAGAGTGATAAGAAACATGAGAAAGGAAGGGAAAGAAATGAATTTAGAATGATAAGAAGGTAAATGGAAAGAAAGATAAGAAATATAAGAAAATAAAAGGAAAGGAAAGATAAACTAAGGATGAAAAAGGAAACATAAGGAAAGAAAGGAAAGATTGACATGGAAACATAAGAAAGGAAAAGAAAAGAAATGATAAGAAATATAAGAATGAAATATGAAAGACAGCTACGAATTATAAGAAAGAAAATGAAAGGAAAGATAAGGAATCTAAGAAAGGAATGTGAAAGATAAGATAGGTAAACATAAGAAAGGACAAAAAATGTAAAGATCAGGAACATTTGAAGGGAAAAGGAAGAAAGACAAGAAGCAAATGGGAAATAAAAATGAAAGGCTTTAGGGTGAATAGGAAAGTAACAGGCCTTGAAATGGTTCCAATTACCAAAGCATTGTAATAATAACATTTATTGATAATCATCAAACCAATCATTTGAACTTAATTAAACTAAACTAAAACCAAAATATTTGATAATAATTTTTGGTACATTTGTACATTTGTTTTGGTTTTTTTTCTTCTCTGTTGTTGTTAAGCGCCTCGACGTTGTGTCAACGTGAGGCGCTATATAAATCCAGAATTATTATCATTATTATTATTATTATTATTATTATTATTATTATTATTATTATTATTATTATTATTATTATTATTATTCTAGACACATCTACACGAATGATGTAATGTTTTTTTACTTTTTGTGTTTCTTTACTTTTTAAGCCTTCTGTGATAAGTCCTGTGACCTTTTTCCAATGCACCAATTTAGCAGAATGTATCGTATACGGAAAAACGTTTCCGTTGTAAAATATTTTTTTGCATAATAATAACAGAAATTCATAAAAGCTTATGAAATATTTATCAAATTGATGAATTTTAACAATAACACAAATTATTTAAGTTGCTTATCTGATTATTATTTAGGTAATTGTTTAAAGCTTCGATTGAAAATGACAACAAATTCTTCTCACCAATTTGCAGACGCCTATATAAATGGATGCGTCTAAATCGAAACCTAATATTAACATACAAGATAAAAAGTCAAATGTTAAAATTTACTGATAAACTTTATTGACTCAGCAAGTATAGTCATATATATATATAATTTTTTGGTAATGCACGACAAAAAAAGTACTGTATATTATTATTATTATTATTATTATTATTATTATTATTATTATTATTATTATTATTATTATTATTATTATTATTTATAATAGTAGCATCCGCAACACCAGTACCGGTATGTAATTGTACACACCTCTTCTAAAAGGTACTCAATTAGGCTACAGTAGAAATATGATAACTTGTTAAATACTATTATTATAAATAATTTGTAATAATAATATTTAGGTCTACCGAAGCCCGTTTCAAAGGTGATTTAAAGGTATAAAGAAAAAAATACACATAGGCCTACAATTAGATAAAACACACTTAAAATCATTGTATAGCGACAGGATAAGAAATAGATATTGATTAAAAGCAAAATTACAGGATTGTAAAGCAAAGTATATATAATCCAGTAGTATTCCCTCGCACCAACACTAAGACCTTCGGACACAGATCATTTTCATTTGCTGCAGCCACACTCTGGAACGCACTACCACTTCACATTAAAAAATCAACATCAATTGCTTTATTTTAAAAATCACTCAAAACGCACTTATTCCAACAATAACATGAAGCGCCACTGATAATTACTTCGGTTTTTTAAATGGCGCTATATAAGTTCTTACCTTATTATTATTATTATTATTCTACATTATGGATAAAATATATTTTTTAGCAGTCATGATCTTATATTCAGTGCCTGGGAGTATTGAGAGAAAACAAGAGATAGGCGGACATGAATTAGTTTTGCTGAGCAACCACGGAAGAAGCTTGTATTGTCTGCATTTGAAGGGCCAATTAATTTTAATGAGTCGCTGTCATTTCCTGCGGGTGCCTCTCCTTCTTAACAAAATAAAATCATGACAAGTAACGTACAATCAATAAAATAATCTAAATTATTCAATTGAGACCACGATTGTAAACTTCTAATACAGAATGACCCACTTACATACGCATATTAATCATGCGCACGAGTTCCAAACACATCACTCAAACACATGGTATATTATGTTACAAGACTGCAACAGAAATTTCAGGATAATGTATAATGCAATTTTTTTAAAACAGTTTGAATATATATGTTATCATTTTCATCATCATCATCATCACCGTCATTATCTTCATCATCATCATCGCTTCATAGTCTTCATCAACATCTTTGTCGTCGTGTCGTAATTATCATTCATCGGCAGCATCATGTTCATCATCACCATCATAATCATAATCATTATCATAATTGTCATTATCATGATCATGATCATCTTTATCATCACCATTAGTCTTATCATAATTATCTTCATCGTCACCGTTATCATCATCGTTTTCATCATTGTTGTAATTATCATCTTCATCATAATTATTATCACCATCATCAGCATCATCATCACCACCATGACACGTGTTATCTATTATGTTATAGTAATTTCTGTCAGACTACTATACTCGAACGGGGTGGGGGGATGCAGTATATCAGGAGTTTTTGTAAATGCTCTGACTATACCGTACCTTATATTGATTGTTTCATCCACGTTTCGTCTGATACTATTTAGTCTCATCTCTTGAATAGTACTTTCAACACCAACGCCAACACAACAATTTGATAATAACTACGAAAACTAGTGACACTTGTCTATAATTAATCTACTAATTTATGTGTCTAGACTGATTACCGTTCAAACTCTATTAGTCCTACTGTTAGACATGCCTATACACAATATAATATTCTATGGTTTATTTTTTAAGGTTTAGAAGCAGGCAAGATAATAAAAGAGAGCATCGTGAATTTTATAAGGAAAATATACACATGGTTACTATGGATACTGAGTTTTCTATACTATATCAGTATACACATGGTATACCGTGGCGTCAGGTCGCTATGGAAACCGAAACCATACCGCTTGAAAGTTTATGAATACGGCGCTACAATGGAGTATAAACCGTCACTAATGGAACGGTGCCGTCAGTATTTCATTGGGGGTAAGTTGGTATTGTTAGTAGTATAGAAGGGGCATTATAACAGTGATAATGCAATAGTAATAATAGCACATTGGTAGTAGTAGTTACAACAATGATTTTACTAAAACATAAGTTTAAATAATCTTGGAATAAGAACGGCTGTAGCAAACAGGGTGGAGCTAGGCTTTGCACCGTTCCATAATAATAATAATAATAATAATAATAATAATAATAATAATAATAATAATAATAATAATAATAATAATAATAATAGTAATAATAATAATAATAGTAATAATAATAATAATAATAATAATAATAATAATAATAATAATAATAATAATAATAATAATTGTGATAATGGCTATGATGATAATTATTACACGAATGTATTCTATATTTCAATTTGGTACAATTTGTTTTAGAATCGGGCAAACGGAAGCGACTTCTGAGTTGGACTTCAAGCAATCTTCCAACATTTTGTGTGGATGATTTTGACAATTGCTGGTCAGATGGTGTCGCTCTCTGTGCTCTGATCGAGTCGGTTGTCCCGGACACTTGTCCTAGATATGACCTTTTAGATCCTAAATACAGAGTTAACAACTGCCGGCTCGGAATGAGACTAGTGGCAAAGACACTAGGTATTGTTGAGGTGAGCTTTCCATTAATTTTAAATTGACATGATGATGAGATGATGGTAATGATAATACATACAATTATATTGTTAATACGTTTGTATTCTCTATGAACGGCGTAATTTGTGCTTGCTCAAGACACATAAAAAACTCTCTCTATTTATATATACTGTCACTAATAGGCCTACGTCTAGGCCTATAAATAAATAACAATTTAATTATTTCTTACGACACAGCCAATGACACCTACACAAATGGCTAACCCACGGGAAATTCCCGATGAAGTCATGGTACAGTATTTACAGACGATAAAGTATGCTAGTAAAATTCCAGTGAAAGAGCCAGAGCGAATTATGCTGAAGCTTGAAGAAACAATACAGGTTTGTATTTACCATCATTTGGTTTCGAACTTATAGGAGGAAATGTGGCAAGCGTGTAAACAAGTGAAAATCATATATGTTTATAGTAATAATACTACACTGGAACCAGCGGTGGTATCAGGCATTTGCCGACAAAGGGTCCGACATGGCCGGCAGAGGGGTCCGAGCCAAGGGGCCGACAAAACCTCTGTCGACGGCCCAGAATAAACAAAGGTCCAGGCGTGTCATAACTGTCTCTTATACACATCTAGATGTGTATAAGAGACAGACCCCCACCACTGGCGCCACCTTTAGGACACATTTCGCCCACAAAACGAGGTAAAGTATACCTTTTAACACTACGACTTTTTGATAAATGAGAGTCAATGGACATTTCCAGCAGTGACTATACAGGGCCCGGATTACGCGCATGCCCCGTATAATACAAATAATTACGTTTACGCTGTCGTTTTCTGGACTTCAGCAACAATATCCCAGGGCTGGGATTATACTACTGTATTGTGAATAGTGAATATAGTGAAAAGGTCCATTGCAGAACGAAGACATGCATAATCCTGTCCTGCATGAGTTATATTAATGTGAACCAACAAAATATATGACATGTGACACACTGCCGATTTAACTTCCCGTTTTTGTTTCTTCCCAAAGTTAAACGAGAAAGAATGCACAGCGACGGGCAGTGGACTTGTCGTAGCGGTTGAAGGAAAGCGTGCCAAATTCAACATCCATACGGAAGCGTTTGTTTGGAAAAACATCTATGTGGAGATCACGGGGACATCTGGTGAATGCTGCAAGCGAAAAATCAACTATGCAAAAGTTGACCGCGTTCAAAAGTCATCACGGAAAATATTGGTAGAAAAAGACGAGCCTGATAAAAATAATAGATTGATACATTTTGATTACGATGAGATAAAAGAGGACGAATACCAGATCATATACACACCATGTAATTCTGGACAGTACGAAATTGCTATAACATGGGGTGGTGAGCATATAAAAAATAGTCCATTCACCGTAAAAGTTCACGAACCAAGAGTCAATGGCTCCTCAAAATCTGAGCAGGGTACAAAGAGAGTGTCTTTTAACACAGGCAACGTGGCGCGGGAATTACAAAGTCATGGTTTAGGAACTGTAAAACAAGGCAGACGACAGTCTCTGTTTAGACAATCTCATCTGGATTCAGACCAATTCCCAACAGATCAGAAAGGGGAACACGGTGACTCTGTAAAAACGCATTTTAATAGGAGTGGTTCAATATTTGGCATGAGTGTGAAGAAGTCAAACGGGCGTCGAGGAAAGATAATTAGAAAAATCATCAAGTGTCCATCAGGTAATAAAGAAATCCGGTACTCCTCTCCATCGTTGGCAACACAGAGAAGTATTGCGTCATCTAAAGACTCAAATGACAGTATTGATGTTAAGCCCACTACGCCAAATCGGTACTCGGGGGCTACAGCCGAAGAGCTGAAAGTAGTGAGGTTTGCTGATCGCTTATCTAAACAATTAATCGGTAGAGTTTATTATGAAATCACGAAAGAAATTATTAAAGTCAAAGCCAGAACTAGCCTAAACACCACTGGCAATAATTCACCAGCAGAGATAGGCTTAGTAAACGGGCAAAACTTACTGGAGCAAAAGTTAGGAGGCAATTGTAAAAACAATGAGCATGGCAAAGACATTAAGAGCCTAGATATATGTAACTCTCAGCATGCAAAAGACGAGCAGATTCACCTTAGAACAAAAGCAAAGTCTGACAATCACTCTTGCAATCACCAAAGTGGAAACGAAGATATCGCTTTACCACCCAATCAGAACAAACCAACAATAGCTACAGAAAAACTAGACCAAAGAGGCTCAAAGCCAATCACTGAACCGGCTAAAAAACAAAAGTTTTCAACTGACGAAAACAACCACCTAGCCCTTCAATCACAAGACATGACCTGTAAGCCTATACATTCAACTTCCATAGAAAGTCCCGTTTCGATTGGTTCTTTGAAGGAATCAATAAATTTTGCTTCTAATGAGACTAATAAAAGTAGTTCATATGACATTTCTCTAGATTCCACTATGTCAGTAGACGATTTCTATATGAAACCCAGTTATTACACAAAAGTATCTAGACCATACCGACCAACATGGCAAGTACACACCATAGATCGGGCTCATAATGATATTGTTTTAGCCGATGAACTCGTAAAGACCTCAAAAACGGAAGTGAATGGAACGACGCATTTACGCAAAAACTCTTTTATTAAAACTAACGTTTCTAAAACCGCTCCTATAACGAATGTTTCTCAGAGCAATATTGATAACAATTCAAAGATTCCAAATAATTGTTATTTAGCAGACACCATCACTGCTGATGTCAAACTCGAGACAACGTCTGAATCGGAAGACATACCAACCAAAAAGAACCCATCAAATGTAAGCAACGAATTTCAGGTCCCATCAAATCAAACATCATCTGAATTTCCGAAGGGATTCGGTGTTCCACTTGAGACAGGCTCTGATATTAGGAGAAATGAATCTGACACATTTTACGGAACGTACACAGACATTGCCAGGATGGAAAATAACCCAAGTCCAAAACATGATGATGCTATAACATATAGGCCTATTGCTCAAAATTCATCAAAACAGGAGACAGAAAATAACATGCATCCTACATTTATGTCAGGAATGAGAGAAACTCCCCAAGATGTTCGCCAAAGTTTCAAACCATTAGTTTTACAGAATACTCGAGCTACCCAAAGCACGACACGAATCATACGCCGTAGCAATCGTAACAAGCCTTGTCATGAAAAAGCGACGCAATGCACAGCGGACTCAATTCGAAGAGCGACTGGATGGGGCCTGTTTCCTCGAAGTCCCCAGCAGTCACTCGAAAATAATGAAAATGATAAAGATATAGAATCAAAGACAGAAACAAATTCAAGAGATGATCTTGATAAAATCCAACCTCAGTTATGCCTACCGTCTATTAAAGGTAACACTGTTGATGTTCAAACGACTACTCACGGAAACAAAGAACCTGGTACTGAGAAGATGAAGCGAACTAGGCGTCCTCGTTTTGCGAATAGGCAAGGGACATTCGACAGTGGGTTTTCAGACGAAAATGCGTTGAGTGGCCATAGCAAAAGTCCAGATTGTGTCTTATTAGGACAGAAAGATGTTTCCTCGACGTCACATAAGTCTAATACTAAAGATGACCCGCAAACATGTTATGATGTAATGAGAGACAGTCAAAAAGACATATCAGAATGGAAGAGCTCCTTGTCGAAAACATCCAGTCAACTAACGCTGGAAAAAATTAACACTTCAGAAAAGGATCAAGTCATTGAACCACCGTTGTTAGACTCAACACATAACCAAATAATTAATGAAAACATAAAACTAATTAGGCCTGTCAATACAGGCAATGTTTGTATTGCGTCACACGGTTCTGCGATGGAAAGTGTGCCACAAGGCATTTCCTCAAAGGAGGAAGAGGTTGATATCGACGCACCAATTTTGACAAATCTTAGCGATCGCTTGTCACCAAACTCGGTCTGCTCTCCTCTCGCAGGCTCATCTAACGACGCAGATATGAGCAATGTCGATGGTGACGAATCTTCGGTAGATACCGATGCGTCATCTGTCCTCGAAAAATTCCCATTGGAGACGTCACACAAAAGTAGTCCTTCTGATTCATTCTTTCTGCCAGCCTATCCTTTTCAAGAATGGATGAAAACTATTAATGATATGAACGATGTTACAAGTCATCTCCACGTAATGCAGCCATTCGGCAATGGTCCTCACTCTCAATATTCGTATTCAAGAAGTGGTAGCCCACACGATAGATATAGAGCTGTCTATGACAGTGATACCATGTCATGTCGATCCACTAATAGTTTCGGAAACAGTTGGTCCCATTGTCCTCGGCTAGGTCACCGATGCGTGTGCGAAGAATCAAGCTCAATTACCAGCAGTGATTTCAGTTGTTCTGGAAGACGGTGTCATGGTTGCAAGGTGTTCGGGGTTGGCATACAGAACGGATACGTAAACGTGAAAAACAATTTTCAGGTTGGTATTTATAACATCACCTCCTCCATCATTTATAATGATTTTTTCAAGAGCTGTAGCTGACATATTAATCAATTACAATATGGTTGCATTAGGATGTCTCTTTGATTAATTTATATTAATTGTTAATCAAAATTGAATGGAGAGAGACTAGTGGTCTTAAATCCGTAACGATATTGTATGGGCTTCTGTGGTCTAAACGGGATGACGCTCGCCGAGATTTAATTGCGAGTTCGATTGCCCCATAGACCTTTTTTCATCAAATATTATAAGGAGCTTTCGTTGATGAAGTATGTTTGATACATTCATAACATTATGTTGCTATAATTATTTGAGCACTGTATTATTATCTATTTGATTTATACATTATTTGTGTTCCCAGTTCTAAGCCTGTCTCTTATACACATCTAGATGTGTATAAGAGACAGTCTTGGCAATAAATAATGTGCATATCCTGTCTCTTATACACATCTAGATGTGTATAAGAGACAGTGCATAGGATATGTGCATATATGCCTATTATATATTATATATAATATATGGATATATATATAGGCCTATTTGCATATATTATATATATCAAATGAATATATGCTTGTCTTAGTTATATATTTTAAGTTATGATATTTGAGTTTGCTTTGCATATACATAAAGTTAATTATCAAGTCGACCTTTTTTGTGATATGGACGTGTTCAGTCTTAATATTTGCAATCTCTTGATTTCAAATTCTTCCTAGTATATTTGTCGGATGAACTTGAGCTCCACATTAATTATGGAATCCACTAATAAGTTAAGTAGGCCAGTGTACCCAATAAATGTTATTCGTTCTTGACTGGTAGCTAGGGCGACATAATTAATCATTCATTTTTCGCAATAATTAAAGTCCACAGAAACTAAAAAATATAATTTGTTAGTTGAATTGCCTGATGAATTTCCTATCATTTTTGCAGGTTGAAACATCGAACGCTTCTAGAGGCGGATATTTATCAGTTAATATACGTGGACCACGCCGACACTCCGTCATAGAGATCAGTGTGGTCTTTACGGGCGATGACTTATACGAGGTGCTGTATGAAGTCAACATGCCTGGGTTTTATGTAATTTCTGTGAAATGGTCCGAACAACATGTGATCGATAGCCCATTTATTGTGGGAATAAAATAATAAGTGCCTTCTTGGTTATTGATAAATGTAAATTTACGATGAAATCTTTATAGATCAAATATGAGTGCAATATCGGATAACATTATATTACAGTATATAGAAATGTATTTTCTTCTAAATATTAGCCTTGATAGATGGGCCTAATATAGCTATTGTATACTAATAATAACTTTATTACAATTATATTTGTACACGAGTATACGATATTATAATATACTTAACCCTCGTCTACAGGGTAACATGGCAAATATCATGATGAATATGAGTTAGACACAAAGTGGCTTAGATTGAATATTATTAATTCTCACGTGAACGTGATATTTATAGTGTAGTGTTTATTTTGTACCGGTACGTCAAATGTACACTAAAAAAGGCCAGTTAGATCTTGAAATAGATACTTGTACAATACTATTTGGGGGAAAACCAAAATTTAATCAAACAAGTAAGATAATATTATGAATAAAAATACGAAGAACGTTTATTTTACGTATCTACTTAGAAATATAGTCATGTAGATTGTCTGTCAGTATGTTGCCATTTGTAATAACTGAACATTATTACATACGATACAGAAAAGAAAACAAACAGAAAATACAGAATAAATAACAAACAATCTATCACTCTTCTGAACTATATACAATTATAAATGAGTAACTCACATTAGAATGAAAAATGTCACCCTTCGGAAACAACTTATTTGCACCATCAAGCAAGATCAACAATATAGGAATCAACTAGGAAAAGACCTAGCAATAGACACGACACAAATCATAATGAAAATACAGTATATGCAACACACTATTGTCTCTAATGGCATCACACTACCACGAATTATTTAGGAGCAAGCTGATGTTGATGATAGTACTATATCATTCCTTTATACTGATAAGGGCTATGCTTGATACAATCTATTTTGTTCTTTGAGCACTGTTTCTATAATAATTATAGGCCTATTCTTTCCTTATGGTCACAGTACTATGCCGAAATGTTGATATATCATGTTTATTTTAATATAACGTCTGCTGCAATTTTTCAGGAGTTCCCTATCGGCTGCATATTCCCCACTAGGCCTATGTCTGCTGAATAATTGTGGGGTAGTGACTTGACTTCATTGATTGCTTTCACACATTTCCACTTTCTCTAATCAACAGATCTTGTGAAGAGGATATAATAATATTAGATGCACCATATTTCTGAATAGAATATGATGTTGTTTTTTAGAAAGTACGATACATACTCCAAGTATGGAAAATGCACGCCATCGTATTGTGATTCAATATTTTGACATTAGGTGACATAGCTGTGTTTAAACTTGTTGTGTTAAGTGTCTCGATACTTCGATGGTGTTGCTTCAATCATGATCAGGATCTGATATTTAACTTATTTGATATTAATTGCCCACCCACCAAAAAAATATTAAAAAAATGATAATTTTCCTATCCAAATAACGCTATTTTGATTGCCAATCCCAAATCATGTGGTCTAAAAGCACATTTAGGACCAATTAAGCATAAAAACTCTCCCCAATAACCCTAACAGGGATTTTTTTTTTATTCCGGGCCGTTGACCGAGGCTTCGTCGTCGCCTTGGTTCGGACCCCTCCGTCGGACCCCTTGTCAGCAAATTTTTGGCGCCACCGCTGACATCCGAGTCCAATAGTTTTGGCAACTCTGCTCAGGAGGATGTCTACAATTTTACCAGGTGTAAACCATTGAATTTGGGCTTGATTATTAAATTACGCCCTCCAACATTGTTATTGTTATCTCCATGTTCAGAGCAACCTAGATACGAAAAACCACAGCGAATCAATCACATTGGGAGTTTAATCAATGTATGCTGTATCCATGGCGACAGTAGATAATTGCAAAAACGCATCATTATGCAAGAACTACAAGCATTACTGTAAAAGCAAACATTTGGTGGTGATCACGATGAAAGCAAATGTGTACACATGGTTTATTGATAACATAATTATTTGGCAATAAATAATGTGCATATCATTAGGCTATTCAATAAAGAATGATGTATGGTAAAAACAGTACTTCGGGATCCAGTATGTCTACTATAAACAATACTGTAAATGATAATCATTTTAATATATTCATCAAAACAATAAACTGATAGAGAGTTTTATAGAGTGAAAAATGGCTTTGGCATTTGCCAGATCCAAATACTTAGATTAATCTGCACACGTCGCTTCTTTCAACTGAAAAATATCACCAGCTCAGTAATAAAATCTAGTTATACAGTAGATACAGCATACTAGTGGGTGTGTAATGGAATCAACCACGCATTTCAATAAATGCATGTAAATCATTCAACAATCTACTCAAACATATATTAAAACAAGCAATCAATAAAGCATTTCAGAGTTTAAAATGAGCATGCTCATTTCCAAGGTCGATCGACATAAATCTAAGTTGTGTGTATGTATGTTTGTCAATTGACCCTGATACAGGCATGCCCACTTCAAATGGCGAATTTGGCGTACAAGTCAATCAGTCACAACTCAATCGGTCTGTTGATCAATTATTCAGTCAATCAATCAAAATACTATATCAATCATTTTTATCATACCTTCAGTCAATAACTCACTCACTCCCATGCAATCTATGACTGGATTATGTTGAAACAAAATGTTGATTTTTGTTGTCAGTCGACTAAAAAAATTATCGATCCATATAAAAAAAAATTAGTACTGTACAATAAATTGACATAATGAGTTTAATGCAATGCATATACAAAACTACATAGACAGATAACTGTAGACTAACAACAAATCAACTCTTTTTTGAAGTTGGTCATGCCATTAGAATTATTATCTAGATAAGGTTTATTCACAGAGTTAAATTATACAAGGGTGATATGGAAGATACCAAGAAGGAATTGACTTGAGCATATTTGAGGCAAAATGGCTAAGTTGTAACAAAAATTGAAATTCAAGTCATTGGTATTTTCAGATACCTGAGTATGTGATCTTTAAAATGAGGGGTCATTCATTGAAATTGGACATTTCAAGCCCAAGTTTTTTTAAAATGAATGTACAGCACTCTTAGAGTCAAGATAAACAGGATTTTGAGTGCACTACCGTATTTCGTCGCTCACATCACGAACTAACACAATCAAAGTATATTGTGTTAGTTCGTGAAATCAAAAAAGCGCGTCAAAATACGCGCTGTTGTTGTTAAGGACTTTTTGTGTGGTAAAGAATACAAAATTGTGCTTGACAACCAATACGCGCTCGTTTTGACACGCTACTGTGATTTCACGAACTAACACAATCTACTTTGATCATTGTGTTAGTTCGTGATGTGAGCGACGATTTGTGCATACATTGTTTAATAAAATTAACTATCTAAATAACATTAAATAAACGATTTGTTGACCACTTCCAGAACTAATACTTTGGGACATAATTAATAAGACATTAAACTGTTGATCTATAGTGAAAAAAAAAAAAAATTAGATTTTTAGGCAATTTTTTGGGCTCCCATATTTTATAGCTCATTTACTAAATACTAGCCTGTGCGACAACTTAAACCATTTTGCCACGACATGCCTCATTTGTCTCCAAGACAGGAGCATCAACATGACAAGACTGGCTGCAAAAGCATAAAGCTCTGTCCACACTATCAAATAAATGTGACATGCCCATATTTAGGTGTAATATGACATCATCATGCCCAAATATGGGCACATCATGCCCAAATATGGGCACATCACGCAAATCTCTCCCATAAAAGGTTTGGTGGTAATGCTCAATGCGCAATTCAGTATTCTTTTTAAAACTATCATATTGAATGCATTAACAGTGTTTTTGTTACATCCATCACATCCAAGTTGAGCAATAAATGTTGAATAAATTATAAATTATTGGTAGTCGCCTTTATAAAATACCTATTATTAAACACAATTAAAAGTAATTATACAATATATATTGTCTGTAGTGTCAGACATTAAGTGTCCAGAAGAAATTCATTTCTGCTTTGTGGACATGGTGTTCCAATGAGACTTAATTAGCCAGTAGGTTGCACTGAATACAAGTTACATTTGAGCATCATATAAAGCAAAAGTTAAAGGCAGCAAACATACTGCTTTAATATTGAATAACAGAAAAAAAAAATTTTTATCTTAAACCGTTTATAATAAATGTCTCATAGAAAATGACATGACTTAATGTTGACATTTATATAGGCTGTGAAAAAATATTCTATAATTGTATCACTTTGGCGAAATTGATGGATGCACATAAAAGGCAAAAACAAAACTATATAGTGATGATCTCCATTACTAAATTTGTCACATTCTTGGCTTGTTTCTTGAGATAAAGATCAACTTCCAAAATTAGTACATTGCAGATGAAGAGATATCATTCATACCCCCTGCAAACAAAGAACAAAATAATAACAAACTTGTGGATGTTCTTAAATGTTTTATCATGGTGGTAATTCAGATTTTGTTATTCTATTTTTATTGATATTGAAAATATTTTAATATGTTCTGTAGTAATTTCTAATCCTAACCTTTTCTTAGGATTCTATTAGTGAAAAGTTTGTAGCTATTTATTTTAATCATCATCATCATCATCTTCTTCCTTTACTGTTACAGTGCAGCAGAACCTGTCGAGTGTAGCTGCACATGTACATTATGTTAGCTGATGCTAAGTACTCCCATAAAAATGTAATAATATCCAAAAGTATTTATTTTGACTGCAATAACAAATGAATTAAAGTGTAAATAGATTCACAATATATTAATAAATAAAACATACTCAACCATGTCAGCTATTTCCCAATTTGTTGACGCTGATGCTGGCTGTTCAATCCTTGCCCCTTCTGCTGTTACAACTGCAATCTCATACTAAAAATGAATAAATAAAACATTCAATTCAATATCTGTTGCCAATTTAATCTACATCAAGACAACATCTACATTAAGCAGCTAAAAAACAATAAAATTACATACTTAAATCCTTTACTTTATTAATATCATAATCAATTTCAATTGAAAATATTTTCCTTGCAAAAAGAAATGCATAGATAATATTTTTACATAAATTATTTTTTTGCATAGATCATCAATTTAATGATGTTCATAACAATAGTTGTACAGTATATTGGAGAGCAGCTTAGCTCAGTTGGTTAAACTAGTGGTAGCCACTATGTGTGCGCTGAACCGTGGAGATCTCTAGGTCCCCGGTTCAATTCCCATCGCTGCTCTCCTTGTGTTTCAGCTTGAGGGCTGAAATGAAGCTCACCATCTTTCGGATGAGACATTTAAGCCTTTGGTCCTGTGTGCAGTATGGCCTGTGTGCATGTTAAGGAATGCAGTACACTATTCGGTAAAGAGTAGGGGATTGTCTCCCGGTGTACTGCCCAATCACCACCAGAAGGACCCCGCTGGAAATAAGTCTTCTTCAGAATTTTGTTGGTTATCCTTAGTGTTTACACTGAATATATCCATCCATCCATCAGCAAAATATGCAATGTTTTGATGTCTCATTAGAAGCATAAAATGATTTCATCCTTTAATATGAGAGATTCTATATTTACTGAAGAAAGAACTTGCAAGTTAACAATGTAATGGTGGTGTTTCATCTGCATTAATCTGTTTCTAGGTTTATTTCTACAGCATGCATATAGGGACCATGAATTCATTTTTTATTTTTCAATTATTTAAAGTGCTACTGTATTCAAGTACTAAGCATTAGCATTGCAATTTTGCCAGATGTATAAGCCGAACAGCATTTTATGAATGTGGATTAGCAAGTCGTAGTAAACTCCTTTGTCATTTGGAAGAATCCCACAGTATTAAATGATTATCTTGTGTTGATTATTTGGCTACAACTACGTTGAAGTTTATTTTATTATAGATTAGCATGCAAGAGGTGTAATAAAATGGATGGAATCTTGTTGGCATTTAAACGAATCCCTTTGAAATTGACAGGAAATCACTTTGGAATTTAAAGGATTCCCTTTGGAAGATATAAGAATTAAATTAAATCTTGTGATGATTATTATACTTTCTTCTTGAACACATCATCAAATAGATGTATGCTACTGTTACAAAAGTGTATGTTCAATGATAAAAAAAGGATAACCTTCTTGGCTACACCTCATTAAATCTTATTTTGTCATTTTGAAAGTAGTGAGATGCGTTTTACTATAAACAAGTTAAAAATGTGATTTATCGTGCCGAGATAAGTAGTCAGTACACAATATCTATATATTACTTGAGGACATAAAAGCATTGTAATTTTTCAAATAATCTCTCAATTTCCCCAGTCTTAAATTTAAAAATCTGTATCTAATTCTGTCAAAATCCCCTCTAGTGTCTTGAAAAAAATGTTTTTCCTCCAGAGCCTGGCTTTAAATATTAAAACCAGTTCTTTCTAACCAGGAGGCACATTGTGAATAACTACAGATGATAACAATTACCAATCCTAGGATTTATCAATCTCAGCTTAGCAAATGTCTTCAGTCAAAAAAGTTAAGATGTCCCTAATAAATATCTTAAGCTGATTTATTACCCAATCTTAGCAAAATCTTGGCTTAAAAATCGTCTTAGATGGTGCCAATGTACAATCGACTTTCTAATTTTAAGCAATTTCTAAGCTAAGCAATATTGATAAATTTGACTTAAGCAACAAAATGGACTTAAGACGAATTTAAGCTGATTTCTAGTTTGATAAATGTGGCCCCAGGGACTTAAGCACAAATATACAATACATACATTGACTTGTGTGGTAGATACCATCAGCAATATACAGTTTAAATACCAATACATACACTTATTGGAAAATTCTTCCAATAGACAGCATCCTTACCTTATTAAATGATCTTGCATCTCTGTAGAATAATACTCGTAAGCATCTTTCTAAAACTGCTTTTGCTTCTGCTTCTGACATATTGGGATTCTTCTCAAACGCATCTCTCATCATAGGCTACAGAATTAAACAAATTTCGTTTGTAACAAATGAGATGAAGGTGTTCGCAGCTGTGTTACATTAAAGTAATAATAATAAATGATGAATTGGACAGTACAAATTGCAAGTAAAGCCCCTATCGCACCGGACTTAATTTGGTCAAATTACCCTGGTTAAATTTACCATTTTTTAAATCCAGTGCGAACAAGGCTTTAGTGTTTAATGTTGTAAAGGAAAGATAGTGTATCAAAGCCTTTACCAAAGGAGTCGGGTGGTGTTGTGTGTGGTTCATATGATTTGATCCCCCTCTAATAAACAAAACCTATGTTTGCATCAGCTCCCATCAAAATGATGATGGCTCAAAGAGATTTGCCGACTGACCACCCCCCTCAACCCCTCTCAAGAGCACTTCTCCTGGGCCCCATCAAGGTAGCTTGAACTCTAATGATTCTTGGGTATAGGCTTGGTACTCTAATAACATAATTTTTATCTTTATTTATGATTTGACCTTTGTAGAGGATTCTTGATGGAGTAGAAAATTGTAGTAGAACCTCCTTAAGAAGCCACCACACTTGAGCATGTTCTGTTCAGGTTCAAGCATACACACTTTTGATTTCTATTTATAAAGTAGGTAACTGTATAATGAGCATTCTCATTGGCTAGTCATTCATGCTTCAAATTTTGTGTCCCAGCACATACTGTGCATGCATGCTGGCCAGTAGCTTCTGATGAGAATGTGCAGTTTGAATTGGTCAATTTACTGCTTTAGGCTGAGCTGAGCTGTCTTTTCAAGTGGATACACTTACAACAGACTTGGCCTTGGACCACACTGGAACACTCTGACGAATTTCTTCCATATGAGATTAGTACTTAGATCTAACTGTTTTCATGGACTAATTAAAATAAATTAGTGTTCATATTGTAAGAAATATGCCATTCTTTTCCATCTAGATATGTTTGAGGTTCACAATGTTTTCCACAAAGGACACAATGCTATTAAGCCAACTGATAGAAATCTGTAGCGGTGTCTAACAATTAGGTGAATTAAATATGTGACGTGTGTCTAAAAACAGACCAAAGTGAACACCAAGCTGTACACATACCAATGCAATGTAAGCCCCAAATCCACACGCTGCTGTGTCACTTTCGTATGCTGTGCCAATTTTATCGACGTAACCTAGAAAACTGTGGTGTTACAAGAATAAGAGTTAATACACTTTAATAATAACAATCAATAATCAATCAATTTAGAAATCTATTCCAAGAGCAACATAACACACAGTGTTAAAACTTTTAATTAAAAGACTGAAAAGAATACTTTTTATAGTATTACTGTACGTACTGTACTAACAGTGTAACTTACGATTCTCCATTGTGAACACCACCAACAACCACAGTGTTCCAGAGAGGGTTGAACTGTGACCTTCTGTAATACATCACACGGGTTAACCAGGAGAATACGGAGGCTGGTGTGTCTGAGTGGCCATCATTCAGACACTCATTATATATACTTTAAGTTGAAACAAAAAATTGATAATTAGTATAGATATCTTTTTACCTCATAATTACACATACTGTATGGTGGGTCAATAAGAATATTATTCAATCATTATAATAAACACCCCAAAATGTTTGCACAGATTTTACACATTCATTTTTCAGTACAAATTTTAATCAATGTTGTGTACTCTGAATAATTTCATATGTTGATTTTGATCAAATAAATGAATTATAAACGCATGTTTTTTTATGTTTTCTAATATCATAAATTAGGTAATGAAATTTTAATAATAACAAATAATAACAACAACAATAAAACAATGTAGGCCTAGTTAAAATGATTCAATATAAAACTGCTTTCACAAAATATTGTTGAAATAAATAATAAACATTTCTTATACTTAACTTACATATTCTGTTCCAATCTTTCCTTGAGATACTGGAAGTCTGCATAGTCTCCGGCTGCCCCCAAAGCTGTATTGTTTCCTACTGTTGTGAGTCTAGATATATTTCGGAATCTTGCTAAAGAGCCATAGGATCCCAGCATATCAGCAGCTATTAGAACACCACCATTGAACTTCATTCCCAGTACCGATGAACCAGTTACCATGGGTGACCTGACAGAACATTGGGTTTAGTTACAGTAAGATTGAATTTGAACCCTATTCACTGACACAGTACTAGACCTACCTTAGGCTAAGCCTACAGTATTTGTTCCATACTGTAAAGTTTTTAAATCCTCCGGAAGACATCTAAAAAATAAGCTCAAATTAAAATAGGTGAACGGAATCGTAATTGCTCTATATTTGCTTTGATTGGTTATATATTATAGGTACGTGACTGTTGGCCGTTGCGAGCGTGATATCGTGGCACCTCTATAATTTTTGCCAGCGACTTGACTGTTGCAACAGCCCTCTATTGTTTCCGCTTTTATTTTTTCCCTGTAACCCGAAAATAGTGATGACGTAGTTCACATGTTCCTCTTTCACCTACTGTAGTCATCAAATCAGTTTTTTCCGACTTCGGGAAGTGAGTGAATTTATTACTGAAAGTTTCAGTTGTCAAAAACATTCAATTTCTTTAAAGAAGGTAGTTTATTTTGTTCTGAAACCAGTGTATTGTGTTAGTTTATATATTTATCTACAACTGGGTGTAATATTTAGATAATTTGAACACCGAAACCTAGTTTTTGACCGAAACCTGTGTTGTGAATGGAAATTCTCAAAATCTGTTTGTGCAGTGCAGCGTGAGCGGTCATGCATATCTGGTCTTGCCTGATCGCACATGACAACACGTTTATATACACACATTCGCGATCGATTTTATGTTATGCTTTGTTTTATCCAAGTTTATATTGTTCTGAAACCAATTTAATTTTGTTAGTTGATATATTTATTTTTATCTAGTTTTGGTATTTTGTGAACTTCAGCATGGAAACCTTGTTTTTGGCCATAATAAAACAAATTACATAGTCTAGAAATAGGAAAGGGGGTTGGGTGGGGTCGGGTGTGGTCAGGGGTGGGGCTGAGGGTCAGAACACCCCTACATATGCTACTGCTTTTGTTCTCCTTGTGTGCTTTCAAATGTCTTATTCATTGAAGCATGTGTAAAAATGTTTAAAGACATTATGGCATATTATAATTAATTATTTGTAATTAATTAATTATTTAATTGTTATTAAATTAATGATTGAATTTTAATGAGTTTTATAATGCTTCTTTTGTCCATTTTGTGTGCTTCCAAATGCTTTTTATTTTATTGAAAAAATATACAGAAACAAAAAAGTTAGAGCATTTTTTTGTATGTTTTTCAAGAACAAGGTCACATACTTCTCCATTGTTTACATAGGATTTGAAGGACCAAAATTAGGCATAATTAATAATCTCTTAAATTCTGTAACTTTGCTGATATTTGACGGATGACAATGATCTTGGTATCAATTTAATTCTATAATAATAGGCCTTTTTCACGAATCGGTAGACATCATGAAGTGATGACAAACATTGCGAATCAGCGGTGCGTAACCAACAGAAATAAGATAAGCTTTTGGGCTGATTTTCTGACATCATGTTATTTAAAAAATCATAACTCCATAACAGAGCACCATATCCAAAAATTTTTTCCAGCAAAATGTTGAAAAAAAATTGAAAAATTTTTTTTACCTCTGAAATCAAGATATAAAAAGAAAAGCCTATCTCAGTAGTGTATTAAAATAGGTATATGCATTACAGTGCAGTAGTAATAGTAATACTCTGAACTAGCATTGTTTTAGTTACCATATGAGAGTTTCCTGTGTTAAAAACCTGATTTACTATGCTATACCTCTTTATAAAACATAACTTGTACTTTATAATAAGAGAAATCTGTATATTATCGCTACTTGGAACAGTAAAACACGAAAGTCCTATGCTACTGCACTGTAATGCGTAGGCCAATTTTAATACACTACTGGGATAGGCTTTTCTTTTTCCATCTTGATTTCAGAGGTCAAAAACATTTTTCAATTTTTTTTCAATCATATAGTGGTATAGACTAGTCAAAGAACATTTTGCTGGAAAAATTTTTTGGATACGACACCCCGTTATGGAGTTATGATTTTTAAAATAACATGATGTCAGAAAATCAGCCCAAAAGCTTATCTTATTGCTGTTGGTTACGCACCGCTGATTCGCAATGTTTGCCATCACTTCAATATGGCTACTGATTCGTGAAAAAGGCCTATACTCTTTCAAATGATACCAACTTCAAAGGAATTGCTGGAATTTAAAATTTTTGTCATGTACCTAGGATATATTAAGGCCTCCTAGGCCTAGTAGTAGTAGTAGTCCTAGCCTAGCTAGGCTAGTAGTAGAGTAGGCCTAGGCTAGGCCTAGCCTGCCTAAAACTAAATTAATAAATGTCAAATAAAACTAGGGCCTAGAATAGCCTGACCTAGAATAGATGCCTAGCTTGGCTACTTCTTAAAAAATAATGACTAAATGTACGGCCCTTTACTCAACTCTTCCTAACTAGCCCGGCCTAGGCCAAGTGGTAAGGGGCCAGATGATTTGCATTCACACACAAGAAGAATGCTGATTCATCATGATGGTGTGTTTTGTTACTGTGGGCTGCTGTGGGTGAGGAGCGTAGGACTTGGGCCTACGATATTTGAAAAGGAAATGCAGCTGGATAACCAAATATTATTAGACTACTTACAAGGTATATTTTGCAGGATCCTCATAAACTTCAGTTTTTCCACCTGGAAAGTTGTAAAAAGCACCCGGGATTGGCCCATTTCTCCATAATTTTGTATCAATTCCACCGCAGAACGCCATGTTTTAGAGAAGTTGATTGATTATTACTGAGGGCGCTGTTGATGTTGTTTCAGTTTGCAATTTTTTTGCATCATTAAAATATTGACGAGCACCCGTCAAGATACAACTCTGTCAGGGCATGGAAATAATCCTTCTTGTTTTAAAAGGTCCATCGTCTGTCACCAGAAACAAAACGAGTTCCTCACATGACCTTTAATTAAAAACATTTTTCGTCTACCTCTTGATGATCAGTATCGCTCATGGATGGAGCTTTCAATTCAATTTCACTTTAGTAAAGAAAGCAATTCAAAATTCATTTGATAAACAATCAATTTTAGCCGATATTCAGAAAAACAAAGACCAAAAAAATAAATACAATTATCATTCAGGATACAAATCGGAACCTGTATGTGAAAGTAAAATAATTATTTAGGCTTACTAAATTAATAACATAGGCAGTTCGTTGAGATGCGACTAAACCAAATCATTTTCAAAAATGTTGAAATTAACTTTTCGTTGCAGGGCTATGCTCGATACGATTAGAACATCATGTTCATATTTGAACACTGTTATTATTTATCTATCTGTTTATATACATATATTTACATACATACATACATTTCAGGATATAGACAATATATAAAGATGTGTATAAGAGACAGACCTTAGGCTAAGCCTACAGTATTTGTTCCATACTGTAAAGTTTTTAAATCCTCCGGAAGACACTCTTATACACATCTAGATGTGTATAAGAGACAGGTGTAGGGTACAAAGTACTAGGATCCATGCCTTGGCTGGGCCTTTAGGCACAACTGAGTTAACACAGTACGCTTTACAGGCATACCTGTTTTGTATTGGAGGTCTTTCTGGATTTTTTGGCGTGTGGAAGTACATTAAAGGAGGCAGCCCAAAGAAACTAACGAGGGAGAGGCCGAGAAACATATTTATTTTTACTTTCAAAAAATAAACAAGATCTGGACTACAGACATTTGCAACATCATATTTGTATATATACAACTGCTTTAATAAACAACCATGTAAGAGTAGAATGATGAGGCAAAAACAAATTATATTAACTACTTAATGTATTACATTTAATAATTTGTCTTGGTGAAAAAATAGATGAATCAAAATGAATTCTATTCCGACTTCGATCGTTATTGTTACACAATTTTGAGGAGTATATAAATGCTCAAATTTAAATTAAATTTAGTATTCAGTTTTGTGAGTCTAAATTTATCAGTATATACATAATGGAAACACATCCTGAATTCCTACTTATGCAATAGGCTGTGATGCATCTCTCTGTGATGTAAATTGTAAAGGAATCGATTGCCACATAACAGGTTAAGGAATTAAGGTAAAACAAATTACCTGATTGGTTCTCAGACAGACATTCACAACAAAATAATGTCAATTTATTATGTTTAGTGAAAGATGTTAATAAACACTCTTAATTATTTGTTTTGTTACATGAAATCCTAGTAATCTGCATAACATAAAATCATATGCATTTAAAATGTTTCTAATTTTCCATATGTACAATGGTTTACACTTTATAAGCAAGAGATAGTAATGTGCACACAGGGGTCCTAAATCTCCCGCAAGTCATGGGATGGGAGTCCCCCGGAAAGCAGGATGGCCTCCCACACTCCAACAAGAACCTACCGGAAAATAACCCATCTTCCGCAAATTCATTAAATCTGTATGTTTTTGCCACGAGGAAGTCTGTGTCGATTGGTATCTCCATAAGAACAAAAAAAAAATGTATGTGTGAAAGAAAGCAGATCTCCCAGAAATGACTGCTACCAAGTTCTGACCCGTGTGTACATAATACCAAGGTTATATATTCTCACAAATCTTCCTCTTGATGCAAAATTATTTGTCAACATTGTAGGTAGTTGAGCCATTTATTAATCTATTAATAGGCAATCATTGAATAGTTAATTTAAATTGATTATACAACAGAGAACCTAGTTATACTTTCGTTCACACAAAGTATATAAATATAAAAATCATTGGGACTGATAAACATTTTTTTAAACTAACAAACACATCACCCTGACATTAACACATCTCCACATTATAATACAAACACTTTTAGGCTACCATAAACAAAGAATACACATCAATAAACTTTACACCTTGCTGTAGAATTTAATACAAAATTTAAAAATAAAATTACTAGTACTATTGAAAATATATGGGAAATAAAGGATGAGGGATATGTCAACAAAGGAAATAATAATAATAATAATAATAATAATAATAATAACAATAATAATAATATCAATAATAATAGTAATAAATAATAATACAGTAATAATATTAATAAATATAATAACAATATTATTAATAAACAATAACAATAATAATAATAATAATATAATATTTTGGTTGAACAGGAAGAAGTATCGATGACATAACATCTGCTTACAGTAACTTAGACCAGTCAGATTTACAACCTGTAAATACAATGTAATTTTAACATAGCTTATGAGGCTACATATATACAGTATAACAATTGAGGTTAACAACTATTGCTCTAAAATCAAGTTCCAACCATAATACAGTACTGTATTACATTCTGGTTGTACAAACAAGACGCTATCTAAGAGAGAGAACAAAAGCAGGAGATTACAGTCTTACGAAATAAAGTAAACAAATATTCAATTTCCTGACAATATCATTTTAAACATTAATTTAAACATAGTTACTGACATTCTTCATAATCTGGTACCTTTAATATGCCTTTTCATGTTGTCCATAGAACCAGAGCTTCCAAAACCAAAGAATGATTTTTCAATTACAGTACTTATTATATCCTTACTATATTTATAAAATAACAGAAAAAGTTATAGCATTAAAATATAAAATAAAAACATGAAATGCTTTTAAATCAGTTTTAAGTGTACTATTTCCAAGTGAAACATAAACACCATTAAAGTGCAAAGGAATCATAAGTCTATCCAACTGGTCTAAGCCAATAAACATGTAAAAGCTGAAAGGAACAAAAGGTTAAAGGTCATAAATATTTATGTTTTTACAGTTGCAGGTCTTTTATCTGTGAAAAAACTCCTAAGGACAACTACTTGACCAATACCTACAAACAATATAGCACAGAACTCGGCTATAGACCACCACTGTACACGGTTGTTTACCATCTCTGCGTGTGCACGATCGTGGGCTTCGCGTAACCTACCACGTGTTTGGAAATTAATGATTGTTTTTAATGACTCATGGATCATCACGCATGAAGCTTCCAGCTGATGGTGAAAAAAAACAAAAAACAAGTCAATTAAAATGATTTTTATGTGATGATGACATAGGCTATTCAATTAATGATGTATTCAATTTGATTCTGCTAATCTATTGCTTCTTCTTTGTATTCTCTTCCTTTGTATTTTTTTAAAGGGTCAACCGAGACAAGCTTGATTTCTTGGTTGGTCCTCATCAAATGCCTTTTTTTATATGTATATTTTGGCCATGATGAAATAATTTTTTTGATGATGATTTGATGATGGCTCCATAAACAATAGCTATTATTTTAATAATTAAAGCTTTAGAATTGCTATTTCTGTACAATATATGAAATGACACATTGATTGAAAAAACAATGTATGACAGATGCAATAACTGGTCATGAAGTTTTAAAATCATTTTGAAGAGATAAAAAGCATACTCTTTTCTTGACCCCTTCCCCCCCCCCCCACCAATAGCGTACATAATACTGTAAAAACAAACCATTAGTTAACTTATGGTCGGTCAGTGACAGATTAAAAATATAGGGCCCAGAGAGGGACTTTGATGGAGGGTGTACTGTAGACCACAGGTGGGCAAAGCGTGGCCCAACAGTGATATTTTTGTCTAAAAGAAACACAATGTTGTTTTTTAATGGCCTGATCATCTGTAAAAATTAGCATTAAAACTGAGAATAAAGGGTATAAAAGCAGTGCATAAAGGTTTTTGGAATCGTACTATAAACATCAAAGTTTCGGTGCGACCCTCAGAGTTGAATTAGAACTTCACTTTGGCCTTCCGACCCATTTTTATGCCCACCCCTGGTCTAGACCACCTCGGCAGTACCATGGTTGAGAGGAGTGGCCTTGGATCTACTCCTGCTGTTGGATGTTGGACAATGCTTTAGTTCATAGTAAAATAAGCCTACTGATTGAACAACAACAACATTTGATAGTGTACAGTAGGTGCGGTTTTATGAGCGAAATAATGATGAGACATAAATACAGTTAAACTTGCCTAAGTTGACTTCGCTATTTTACATGCCAAATTGTTGTTTTCCATTAACAATCTGTAAGTCAATATCTAATTCGAACAATTTTTCCATGTCATTTTGGATTCGATTTAGGCAAGTTCAACTGTAATCCACATGACAAATGATTGAAATATTTACCTGTGTTAATGCACTGGCTTGGGCACCTATGTTGCCAGTAAGTGGAGGCTCATCCCCGGCATAGAAATCAAAATACACCGTTTTGTGCGCAAACGTTGAAAATTCATTGCTAAAGCAGAATTTATAGACACCTTTGATATCTGTAGTCCATGTGTAAGTATCATACTGCTTTTTCTTCTCTTTGTACAGGATCCTTGATCCTGGCCCTTCAAGGGTTACATCAACATCATAATGACCACCAGTAACAACCTTAAAAAACATTAAATTAATACTGGCATTAAAATAAATAAATTAATAAGATAAAATCATACTACACTGTATAAAATTGTAGTTCATAATTCAAGTAAATTAGAATTAATATATCATTTAAATAATTTAACTATATTGTTTTATACATATATATATATAGAATGAATGTGTTTCTGAGTTAATTAATAATAATTCCAATACAAATTACACATATAAAATTTTACTGACATGGGAAATAAACGTAAACCAGATGAATTTATTTGAACAACTGTGATAAATATGATTATAAGTAAATGTGGATAAAATGATGTAAATTGCAATATTGATAAGTTCCAATATACAATGAGTGCATTTTTATTACTATAGACTTAGACTGAATGTAATTGTTGAGCGAAGAAGAATTGAAACATATCTATGCCTATTATTATTAACATTTTTTTCTTTTTAATCATTTCAATTGAATAATGCAAATTTTTTGCTTGGCCTTCGTGCCATATGACGGCAAATTAACTAAGAGATTAAATTCCAAATGCAGTAAATTTAACACTTTACTGCATACATTAAACTGTGAAACATAAATTGGTAGTAGGTCAAAACGGCGATAAACCAAAATGGCAATGATAAGTACCAAAACGGCAACAGACCAAAGCGGCAATAGGCATACACCAAAACGGCAAAGGAGCAAAATCAATGTCAAGCTGCATAATTTTCTGAATTGTTTTGAAATTGTCCCGACAGGGAAATGGAATACTGCCATGGGCTCTTTTTCCACTTTTAATGTTTAATCAGTTTAAAAAAAAAAAATTTATTACACATTTATGACAAATTATTTAGATGCTTCATTTTGTTTATATTTGAAAACTTTATTTATTATTAATAATTATTATTATTATTTCCCGTTTTTTACTTTTATGACATAAATTGTTTAGCCTAATTTTGTATGTATTTGAAAGTTTTATTTATTTAAATGTTTTTATATTGTTTCCCCCATGTACGTTTTATTATGTTTTATTATTCTTATTATTGTTATTGCTTGTCGTTCTTTCATGTTTTCTACTTCTATGAGAATTTAGGCTCATTTTTACCGTGCTAATCATTGTATACTTTCATGTTTATACTTGGTTTATTTTGTCGCGTTTTTACTTTTATGACATAAATTGTTCAGACTCATTTTGTCTGTATTTTAAAATTTTACTTATTTAAATGTTTACTTTTATATTGTGTTCCCCAATCCTTTTATTATTTAATTTGTAGTGTTATATATTGTTATTGCTATGACAATTTAGCCTCATTTTTACCATATTAATCAAGTACACTTTCATGTTTATAATTGGTTGCTGTTGTCATTTATTGCAGTTTTGACTTAAGCATTGCCGTTTTGACTTATTGATGTTTTAGTTTATTGCTGTTTTGACCAGAGAGCCATAAATCACATCACATTTGGCCAACAAGGTTGGTGTTCCATACAATATGTTTTCCACACATCCCTGCCAAAATGGTTCGCGGTGGACTGAAGAGTGCTATAATAAGTTCTACACTCTTTCTTTGATTGTCTACGTCCCTGGTCAAGCCCACAAACACTAATTAGGCTAGGCCTAGCTAAATCATGACTTAGCATATAGGGCCTAGGCCCATGCATGGTCGAGTCCGAGGCTAAGCTAACTAAATAAATAAAGGCGAAACTTTAAAGTCTGGTCTAACCTAGCTAGGACCACACATTTTACTTTAAAGACAATCGACGTGGTATTTTAATCTTATACACATATCTAGAATTATGTAGCATTACTATTTCCTTCCATACCTGATATTCCAACGTCGTTTTTATATTTTTTTCTACCTCCTCGTAGAAGCACTGCTTATCGTTATCAGCAAGCTCGAAGGTAAGCTCCGTTGCCCCGACTTGGCTCCCTGACAGAAGCCAAGCGCACAACACAACACACAGCCTACAAACCCACATCTGGTTCCTTCTATTTAAAACAAAAAAATAAACCATATTCAAAGATCGGAAATATGCTTTAATTTGAATGTTTAGTAATAATTCCATTAAACGTTGTTTCCTTCCTTACCTATTTCAGAATCAAATAAAAAATATGCAAAACTACGATTAATCAACGTGGCAACACACAATAGATCCAACCGGCAAAAGGTCAATGAATCTCATCGGAACTTGATATAGGAGCGCCCTCAATGCTAACCAAAGATTGTTACCGGGATCTAATTGCACGCAAAAATCTCAGGTGGGCTGCGGATGATGTTTTATATACTAGGCCTAGGCCTATTTCTATTTTAAGGGTTTCTTTTTAAAACAAAACGAACCTTTAAAGGCAAAAGAAATTAATAGGAAATATGTCTGGATCTGCAAAGTTATGCGTCTATTGAGTGCATTTTCTAAAGAAGATTAACAATTTGGCAATCCCTGAACATTACTTCATTGTATTGTCTTTTATAATTTTCGTATTTTATTGTGGATGTGTCGAATTTATAATAAATAAATACATTAAATACCGTTGATGAGCACATCATAATTCAGGGTTATTTTATCAAATTCCCTAAACGGAGGGAAGGGGTGTGGACAAGCGAAATTCCCAGTGAATCAGATCCTGTAGCCAACCGAATTTATAGAATGTACACCCAGGGTAATGGAACCCAAAATTCATGTGACACCGATAATTATAATTTTTAGTATTTAATATTCTGCTGTAATTAAAATATATTTTTAATGCGATCCTAAAGTTCTTTATTGGAAGATATAACGTCTATAGATCCCAAAATCCCAAAATTGATTTTTAAGTCAACTTCTAATTTAAGCTGCTTTTTAGAATAATATAACTAATGCCGTTTTTCATCAATGTAAATTTTTATATTATGTTAGGAATTCACAACTTGTATTTTTTGCATCCGGGTTAAACTTGACATTTATAACCTCCTACTGCCAATGCTATATTGTCATTTTTTCTGTTTTTTGGCAATAAAATTGAAGAAGGAAGGAAGACCTTTACTAGGCCTACCAGCCTTTGCTATTGATCGCCCTTGGGCTGTAGCATTTGGGTTTTCTGTTTTTATAGTGATTTGTTTGTAATGAAATTGGTTTGATTCGTATTTGTATGGAGTGTGCAACTACTACAAAAGAAAATAAATAAAAATAATTAAAATAATGTACGTCTTAAGAGAGAGGTTGCAGACAGTGAATGTCACTTGATAAATACATCAAGCAACAACAACAACAACAACAACAATAATAATAATAGTAATAATAGTGATGATTATGATAATGATGACCATGATGATGATATGATGATTATGTGAATAATAGTAATAGTAATAATAATAATAATAATAATAATAATAATAATTAACAATAATAATAATAATAATATAATAGTTATGATAATGATAATAATAATTATAATATTATAATAATGGACTATTTAAGCAAATCGCATCCAACATTAACGATTTTGAATGAAATGCATTACAATAAATACAAAATTATTATTAGTCAAATACTTTTTTATTCATTGTCTTTTCCTTAACATTAAACAAACACGACTTAATTTTTAACTTAATAAATATCCCTTATGAACTTAAATGACTATTTCTTATAGATAATAACAAAGGATGTTTATACATTTATAGACATCTAAAATTAGATAATGTATTGAAACTCCATGGCATATTGTTACATTTATCTAAATCTCAAGCATAAAAAAGACTACACAGCTTATATAATTTCTTAAACAATAATGTTCTTTATCAATTCTTCTTTTGTAAGCTCCAGCAGTGGCGTATCTAGGGGTCTTAAAATGGGGGTGCTCATAGGGGAGGCAAAGGTAAAGGGGGCTCGATGACCAGTCGAGGGGCGATAATTCGCAAAATAAGGTGAGTTTAGGTGATATTTAACTACTTGACTGTGATTTTTGGGGGCGGGGCGACTCGGCGTGATTTATTTTTTTGGGGTGAAGGGGACGTGCGCCCCCCCCCTCCGCGCACCCCTAGATACGCCACTGAGCGCCAGTGATTCCCTTATTATATTTTAACTGACGCTATAATTTATTTATTTATACAATATGACATCTCAACGCAAACAGAGATAGATTATAACATACATTTGGGCGTATATCACGACGCACGTAAAACTGTTTCACAGAGGACTGATTATTTAATGTATTACTATTTTAAGTTATCAATATGGTTTAGTTGTTGGCTTACATCCGTATAATTTGGCATAGAGAACGAAAATATAAAAGATTATTAAAATTATATTATATTTTTGTTATTTTTTATATAAATACGTACATGGTTAACATATATTACGGTATAGTTATGGAAGACTTTGAGCTTCTACGTACAACTAAACTTTAGCGGAGACGATCCGAAACTATATCACTTTCAGATCATTGGCAATAACTTTTGCTTACAAATCTAGTTACAGTATCCAAAATTAAAGTGAAACGAGTCACCGAACTATTTGATTATACATTGAGGCAGATTAATAAATATACATAGGTTATGTCACACAAATTGCTTTATATTTAGAAATCGGCCCTACGACCTGAAAAGGTCAAACACAGTGAAATTAGGCCGGGGACGGTCTGGGTTTTTTTTTTTGCCATACGCCTTAGCCTATTCTATGATTTTATTAATCAACTCTATCAAAACTCGAAACAGTAACCAATCGGGATAACATCCGAGTTTAAATAAACCTTGAAAGTATGGCTTTTTAAAAACACCATAAACAATTATTTCTGGCTTTTCTCCTTACATGAATCCAAACCGAATTTGAAGGTTCAATGATTTCGAGATTGCAGAAAACAAACTGTTTTTAAGTATTTAACTTGACATCCAGACGTTAACATGGCGATTGTGTTTGAACATTAAGGTGCTCTCTTCCGGTTGTTTTAACGGTAGCACAACTTAAACTTCTGTCTCTTATACACATCTGGTGACAATAACCCTACCAGTATATTTTATCAAATAGGCCTAATACGCACACCCTCCAATTCGCGACCCCTCTAATTCGGGACCACTTTTCCAAAGACCCAAATAACAATCTTCAACCTTTTAACACAAATCTAGCCCTCTAATTGGGGACCAACCCCGAGACCACCCCAAATTTTCAGGTCCCAAAATAATCTCGAATTGGAGAGTGAACTGTATAAATTGCTTGAGAACCATATAGGCCCACCACCAATATCATTCTATAGTGTAGATAGGCCTAAATACATTAACATGTTCTGCCCTAGTTTTTATGGCATCATTCTCGTCGATGTGAATGTATTTCATTCACATAATTTCGAAATTAAGCCTGTGGCTACTAGCAATGTATCAACGAAGTAACGCTACTGAATAATACAAAACGAAGGCAAGGATGATAGTAGAATTATTTAAACTTTCATAAAAAAAAACAAAAAACAATAGCGATAAAAATAATGGCACTTTATGATTAGGTCAACGTATAACCATAACATTATTGCATTACACTTGAATTGATATAATATGCGTCACACCAGAGCAACGTCTTGGTGTCATTTTCACACTGACTCCTGACACCAGTATGATGGACATTTTATTACAGAACGCCCTCAGGGAAACATCAAGAAGGTTGTATACACCGGTATGCTGTTCGATAAAACTGCTTATATACATATTCGTATACAAATCTGTAAAATAAATACAATATCACTACTAGATGATGTAATACAATACAAATACGATGCACAACGCGTGCTACTGAAATTCAGTACAGACGATATTTCGACAACATGCATTTTATAGGCCTATGATACCAAAGGCTAATAGTGTATTCATATAATATAATGTCATAATTAACCCTGATTATGAAAAATGATTGGTATTTTTTACATATAAAGTATGAGATTTTGGACAAGGCTGAGACTTTGATGCTGTCCTAATTGTGACGAATGCATATCATTGACGCAAGAGTGGACCATTGCTGCTGTTTAAATCAATTGTGTGCAATTAATTGTTTATGTCTAATTATACTAATTAATTTACGTTAACTATTAGACCTACACAAATTGTTTTTATTAATTTATTTATTAATTAACTAATGAATAAATGAATTAATTAATAATAAATAAATAAATAAATAAATAAATAAATAAATAAATAAATAAATAAATAAATTCATCTTTATTCATCCAAAAAAAAAACCCCCCCAAAAAACCAGAAATATTATACAAAACAACTGCATAAAATTTAAACAAAAAAGACAGTAATACAGTAATAAGTTGGCTGGGATTAATAACAGTGTTTATGCTCAACCTACTTTGTGCGCGTGCATTTTCTAGTTGTCCACGGCCCACAATCCTCTTCGAAGGTCCGCTGTACCTTATGAGCATAACCCCTCTGAAATGACATTACGTAGCTTTCATAGCGACAAGGAGCAGTGCGCCCCCTTGCTTGGTAATACCGACTTCTACCAGTCAGTCCCGTATATCCTACTCTCCTATTCGAAGAAGCTTGCTGATTTGTAGCAGATAGCGCAGGAGCCGGTTGTATTGACATTTCTGAGAAGGAAATAATGATATCGAAGTATGATGAATAAAACGCAATATGAATAAATAATGATATTCGATGTATTCAAAAACAATTCGAATTTATTTGTTCAAATTTGAATTTGGGCTCAGCATACTAGTCGCTTAGCTTTTCCAAGACGTTTAGAAAAATATGAAGATAACTCACATTTCATGAAGAGACCTAGCAATTTTATAATCAACAAACAAAAATCACTTACGAATATGGCAAAATTGTCCACTGTAACCCCTTGGACAACTGCATTTGTTTGCACCGATGCATTTCCCACCATTTCGACAAAATCGTTCACAATATGCTGTAGATAAGAAGTAGAAAGAAATAAAGAAAATGAATAGGCCTAATCGAGAAAGCCCGAAAGTGGATCTGTGGCCTTATTAACCAATCGATGGGTTTAGAGAGGAGCAACGGTTTGCACTATTAACCACAGAGAAAATTATGAGTCGCAATTCAATTCCATCGTTTACTCTCTTGTGTTTCGACTGGAGGCTAACATGAAGTACATAGTACATCATCCCTCATTTGATTCCAAAGATTTATATAAATGATTAAAAACATTATAATAACCTAAATAATAATATAATAACGACCGAGGTTACATCCTCTTTGACATGTCGAGGGATGTAATACAGTATTGTCCTAATTCGTGTTATGATGTCATATGGTCGTATTTCACATGATTACTTACTAATGTGGCAACGCTGTCCTTTCGTTCCTGGTTTGCATTTACAGAAATACGGGGAAACGCATTCACCTCCATTTTCACATGCTGGCCGACAGATGGCTGTGAATGAGCATAATTTGTCAGTTAGTGTAAAACATAACAATTATATATCGCGATTGTGTTTGAACATTAAGGTGCTCTCTTCCGGTTGTTTTAACGGTAGCACAACTTAAACTTTTTAAAGTATGAAAATTAACATAATATACAGCAGGAATTATCGTTATTTCTGGGACTAAACTCGCTGACGACGACGCAAGACAAGACATATAGGCCTAGGCCTATATGGGGAATATCCACAATTGCAACTTGTAAAGTCGAGTCAACTTTAACGGTTTAAAAATTGTATTTTTAATTAATTTGGTGGATTTTATTATATATGTATAAACTTCATAGAATGTATTTTAATTACTGAATTAATATTCTGACCTTTAAATGCAAATAGGTTATAAAAATTCGTAAATTCTTGGCCTATTCTATAAGCTCTCAAATGTATACAGCAATGCCAGTTTTAGGAAGGGTTTTGATCATCACTGCATGTGATACCACTGCGCGGTCTATACCGTACTAAGAAGTTAAATAAGAAAACTAGTTTGCATACCAACCACGATGTTCAGTCATAATTAGGCCAAGGTGTTCGAATCAATAAAACAGGAAAATCTCGTTAATAAAACACACGTTTGATAAACTTTGTTTTATGGTAGGATAATTGATTACCATTCACAATCTGTCTCTTATACACATCTAGATGTGTATAAGAGACAGCAATACAAATACGATGCACAACGCTAAATATAATATAAATTCGAAATAATTTAGTATTTGATCGAACCAAGTCCCTTTAGGGGCTCCGATAGAAAGATGAAAAACTACGGCGAGTCCAACTTCACCATTCGCGGTAGCACAACAAATTGTTACCAAGACCAAGATTCGGAGCTTTTCCTCACTGAGGGCCAAGGGCTTCTCCCCCGAAAACTTACGAACGTTACACCAATTTGGTAGCAGCCCTAAAATGGTGAAGTGTGGAGATTCAACGATTGCGCTATAAAGCCCAACACCACGAAAATACAACACGATGTAACGTTAAAGAAATAAATTTATGCAAAACCTACGAGTTTCACAGTTATCTCCAGTGTAGCCGGATCTACATGTACAGTGATCAGGTCCGACGCATCTACCACCATTTAGACAATAATCTTTACAGATTGCTGAGGAATATAAAACAAAAAATGAGTAATTAATCTATTATGATGCTTTTGGATAGGTTCATATGTTTTTTTGTTGTTAATAAATCACGTCTTTAAAAAATTTTAAACAAGATAATATTGATAAATAGCCGTTTTTTGTTATTGCCAATACAACTGTACAAAACTTTAAAACGAATTTTCTGTGTTTCACCCAAGTAATCTCATTAGGAAAAGATAAATGAAAAGATATTGAAGTTTTGAGGCTCAATAGTTAAAGACACATGAAAAAGTAATGAAATCCATCGGAGGCTCGTTGGTCTAGTGGCATGATTCTCGCTTTGGGTGCGAGAGGTCCCGGGTTCAATTCCCGGACGAGCCCATTTTTTAGTTTTATGGCAATATTTTAATGTTATATCAAAATTTACCAGCCTGACCAATACGAAAAGACAACTAAAAAAATACAATGTAAACAATTGGAGGCTCGTTAATCTAGTGGCATGATTCTCGCTTTGGGTGAGAGAGGTCCCGGGTTTAATTTCTGAACGAGTCCCTTCCTTTTTGTTTTCTCGAATTATTGTAATGTTATTTGAAAATTAACCAAGCCGAAAATAAAACATAAGAAAAAATGGATAAAAAGGTATTTGGTAATTGGGAAAAACGGAAAAAGGATAAAATAAACTATCGCAGGCTAGTTGGTCTAGTAGCCTTATTCTCGCTTTGGTTGCGAAAGCCCCGTGTTCAATTCCCAGACGAGCCCATTTTTAATGTTCTTTATAAATTCTATAAACCGAGTGATAGGGAAAGACGAATGAAAAAAGAAAGAAACCATCAAAGATTCATTTGATTTAGTTGTATGATTCTGTCTTTGTGTGCGAGAGGCACCGGGTTGAACTCCCGGATAGGATTCGTTTTAATTTCTTTCAATATTTCAATAATATTTCTAAATTTACAAAGCTGCCCAATAGGAAAAGACAAATGAAAAAGTACATCTGAGGGTCGTTGGTCTAGTGGCATGATTCTCGCTGAGGGTGCGGAAGGTCCCGAGTTCAATTCACGAACGAATCGGTTTTAGTTTTCTGGAAATATCTTTATGTTACTTTAAAATTTACAAAGCTGACCAATATGAAAGTACGACAGAAAAGACAATTCAATCATTTGGAGGCTCGTTGGTCTAGTGGCATGATTCTCACTTTGGGTGCGAGAGGCCCCGGGTTCAATTCCCGGACGAGCCCATTTGTTTTAGTTTAATGGCAATATTTTAATGTTGTTTCAAAATTTACCAACCTGACCAATAAGAAAAGACGACTGAAAAGGACAATGTAAACAATTGGAGGCTCGTTGGTCTAGTGGTGTGATTCTCGCTTTGGGTGAGAGAGGTCCCGGGTTTAATTCCTGGACGAGCCCCTTTTTGTTTTCTCGAATTATTGTAATGTTATTTGAAAGTTAACGAAGCCGAAAATAAAACATAAGAAAAAATGGATGAAAAGGTAAAGTAAGCTATCGGATGCAAGTTAGTCAAGTGGCATGATTCTCGCTTAGGGTGCGAGAGGTGCCGTATCAATTCGCAAACGAGCCCGCTTTTGTGTTCTAGAATTATTTAAAAATTAAACCAAGCCGAAAAAAAAAATAGAAAAAAACTGATGAAAAAATAAGTAAAAACATCGAAGGCTCGTTGGTCTAGTGGCATGATTCTCGCTTAGGGTGCGAGAGGTCCCGAGTTCAATTCCCGGACGAGCCCCTTTTTTTGTTTCGCTTTCTTGAATTATTGTAATGTGTTTTCAGAATTGACCAAGCTGAAAAAAAAACATTAGGAAAAACGGAGAAAGGATAAAATAAATTATCGCAGGCACGTTGGTCTAGTAGCCATTTTCTCGCTTTGGTTGCGAGAGGTCCCGTGTTTAATTCCTGGACGAGCCTCTTTTTTTAGTTTTCTCGAATTATTGTAATGTTATTTGAAAATTAACCAAGCCGAAAATAAAATATAAGAAAAAATGGATGAAAAGGTAAAGTAAACTATCGGATGCAAGTTAATGGCGTGATTCTCGCTTGGAGTGCGAGAGGTGCCGTATCAATTCGCGGACGAGCCCGTTTTTGTTTTCTAGAATTATTGAATGTTACTTAAAAATTAACCAAGCCGGGGAAAATAGGGAAAAACTGACGAAAAAATAAGTGAAACCACCGCAGGCTCGTTGGTCTAGTAGCCTTATTC